CAGATAACCCATTATGAGAATGGCAGGCTGAAACCCTGTCACCTTTGTCCATGCCTTTCTCTAAGGAAAAAGCAAGAAGAGTTTGTTTCTAAAGGTGATTGTAGCAGTGATAAGGGAGCAGTTCTTATTAGGGGTGACAGCAAAGGGGCTGTGGCGGCAGTACTGACTGGATAACCTTGTGCCTGCTCACCCTTCTGCGCCAGGCTCCTCTGCCTTGCCTCGGCGGGGACACAATCTGCTGGCTGAAATTACCTCGCAGCTGGAGGAAAACTAAACATGATTTCTGACCTTTACTTCTTGTGTTCAACAGTAACCTTTGGTGGTCCGCTTTCACAGGCGGGCTGAAATGAATTCCCGACCGCTGCGTGTGCGATTACGTGCATGTTGAGGCTGAGAATGACGAGAAAATCAGTGGTTGAAAGATGTTCCTTGAGGTGCCGTCCTCTGTCTGGGAACCTGCTGGCTTGAGATGTTAATTGAAGTCAAATTGCTTCTACAGTGTTTGGAAACCTTAAGATACAAGGTACCTTATTTCTGATCCCCCAAATGTAGACGCTAAAGCTAATGCAAACTAAAGCAAAAAAATATGGATATTTTTCTAAACAAACGCATCGACTCACTTCAGGAGGCCTTTATTACCCCCCGGAGCCGTGTGGAGCATTTTTTTTATGATGGATGGATGCACTTTTTTGGGCTTTAAAATCTCAACACCCATTCACTGCCATTATAAAGCTTGAAGAGCCAGGATATTTTTTTATATAACTCAGATTGTATTCATCTGAAAGAAGAAAGTCATACACACCTAGGATGGCTTGAGGGTGAGTAAATCTTGGGGTCATTTTCATTTTTGGGTAAACTATCCCTTTAACATTCTGTTTGAAACTATATATTTACGGAGCAGATGCCATGATATATCTTGAGCTACTTTATTTCCGCTGTGCCAAATGGAGCTGGTAATGCTACTGCAAACATTGATACTCTGATAGAAATGCTATGTGAATATGGATGACTCATAGAATACTCACAGCTAGGTGGATGGGTTTTTAAACATGCAACATAGCCAATGTTTGTGTGTGAAGAGAATTAGCATATATTTTTCAGACATTTGAACCAGTAATCTGGACCCTTTTTTTCCCTTTTCTGAGGAAAAGCTATAATTACGTCTGCCGTACTTGTTGTTTTGTGCTTATTACAAGCTTATTCCGCCAACAACTTCTTTTAGCATGCAAGCTAGCACGCATGAGCATGTTGAAAGAGGGTTCCTTCCGATGAACTCATTATTCCGCAGTGTTCACCCCACTCACTGACACACCCCACATCTACCTCTGACTGTCACATCCGAGCAAATTCATGCAATCATGCCCACTATCCTTTAGACTGGAGATAATGCAGGCATGGTGAAGTGTGGCTAAATCTTAACCACAAGTGGAACCTAGCAGTTAGTCAAGGCGCTGAGGGGAAAATTGACCTGTTCCATTTTATTTGAGAGGTTGAGCATGTGCATGTTTTTCAATATGTGTTGAAGCACAAGATTGTGTCAAAATTTTCATTTGACATAAATTGGAACTTAATTCCAAATGTCAGGCAGGATTCTAAATATGTCCATGATATGCACAAGAACATGCACAGAATACACGTGATTAAGGGGAACAGGAGGATCACCAACAACTGCTTCCATGGTCTGAGTTTTGGAAAATCCATATACTGTACTGACTGGCCTGTGTGGAGTAATTCTATGTTATTTCTAGGCTAGGAGGGAAAATTAAGACATGAAACCCATCATTGAGATGATTCCACTAAAAAGGCAAGATGGTTCGTGTTGGGGTATCTGCTCAAAGGGGTGGGGGTAGAGGATCAAAGTGACTAAAGCTGATTTATCCTGTGTTAGGGCTCAAATGCCTCTGAGAGGCATTGAACAGCCCTTCAAAAAGCAATAGCAGCCACCTTTATATCCAGCCTCACAATCTGCTGGCTGAAATTACCTCGCAGCTGGAGGAAAACTAAACATGATTTCTGACCTTTACTTCTTGTGTTCAACAGTAACCTTTGGTGGTCCGCTTTCACAGGCGGGCTGAAATGAATTCCCGACCGCTGCGTGTGCGATTACGTGCATGTTGAGGCTGAGAATGACGAGAAAATCAGTGGTTGAAAGATGTTCCTTGAGGTGCCGTCCTCTGTCTGGGAACCTGCTGGCTTGAGATGTTAATTGAAGTCAAATTGCTTCTACAGTGTTTGGAAACCTTAAGATACAAGGTACCTTATTTCTGATCCCCCAAATGTAGACGCTAAAGCTAATGCAAACTAAAGCAAAAAAATATGGATATTTTTCTAAACAAACGCATCGACTCACTTCAGGAGGCCTTTATTACCCCCCGGAGCCGTGTGGAGCATTTTTTTTATGATGGATGCACAAACATATCAGTTCACTTCAGATGGCCTTTATTAACCCCCTGGAGCCATGTGGAGCACTTTTTATGATGGATGGATGCACTTTTTTGGGCTTTAAAATCTCAACACCCATTCACTGCCATTATAAAGCTTGAAGAGCCAGGATATTTTTTTATATAACTCAAATCTGTCCCCAAAGCTCTTTTTAATGACACATGCTGCATAACAGAGCAAGGATAGAAAAGTGTTCAATAAGGCAAACATGCTGTTATCTGGAGATGAGGACTAATATAGAAAGGCTCAGATGGTACAGAGGGAGTTGTCGATCAAACACACTTTAATTTCTATTTTCAAATTCCCTTCCTTTTCTGCTCAGCATGGACACACTTGCTTGGGCAGAAGTCCTTTAAATGTTTGCTAACAAAACAGCCTTGGTACAAGAACCACCCAAACAGCAAGCCATGGAATATTAGCGCATGGCCAAAAGCATGTGGTTGGCAATGGTTACAACCACTTAAGGCGTCCTCATAAATTCAAAAATACTCACGTTTATCAGGAAGCACACTGTTCTTTTAATGATAACCCACAATATTAATTTAACTAGGCAGCATGTCAATCAGGTGACCCGTCCAGGAGATTCCCTCTAATTCATGACCGCATACAGATTGAAATGATTTTTTTTTTTAAAGCATCTAGAAGAACAATTTAATCACATTTGCTCTATAGACTTAATAACCACTGACAGAAAGTCCTTGTGTGGAAGGTTCCATGAGGTTTAGAAGGACTTTTCCTTTGTTTTTCTTTGAACAGGTGTGGTGACATTTCAACCACTTAATGAGATTATGAGCATAATTAGAACTGGAGCCACTGAGGTTCCCAACAGTCAACCCACTTGAACTCGAGAGAATAACCAATGTCCGTCTGGGTGCCACCTCGGAATTAGAGAGAATAACGTAATTAAGTCCTAACGCATGGATCCTCAGCTACCTTAGGGACTAGAGGACGTGCCCATGAAGAAAAAGTAGCATTAGCGCATATAGCTAGCAAGCACTGCCTAAAGCAGTAGCAAGTCTGTCAAAGCAGGACACTCTAGGATTGGCCTAGGGTTGGGAAAGAAATCCCCGGCAACCATTAAAGTCACAACGGTGTTGGATTGCTCCTGGGGTGCTACTCTGAACTGTTCATTTAGGATGATGTGCAACTATTGGGCCTGACCTAAGCACACTTTCCATCTCCAACATGGCCACCGAGAGAAAGGCAATAAGGGACCCAAGGAAACCCAATGGGTGCCTAGGGAGCGCTAAGGCTGGCCACTCACAGGGAAGTCCAAAGACAGCAAAGTGTCAGAGTCAATGCGAACACACACACCTCCACAATGGCAAAATCAATGGCGTTTTATGAGGCATCAATCTCCTCTACAAAGGCCTGCTTGTCTACTGCTGGGATGGACCATTTGGATGTGGGACTTTGACATTCAACATTTCCCAAAAATTGCCAGTGAAAACTTTTTGAGATTTTGTTGACCCATGCCTGATGGTTTATGTCATTCCCTTAAAGATTATTTTGTCTGCCAGGTGGTCATATCTGTCTATATATCTGTCTATCTATCTATCTATCTATCTATCTATCTATCTGCAACTCTGCTTTTAGAGGGCCACTGCCTTGCAGATTTTAGTTCCAAATTATCCAAAGAGATTGTTCAGGTGTGTTTGATTAGGGCTGGAACTGAAATCTGTGGGAGAGTGGTCCCACAGGTGAAGAGTTGCCAATCCCTGGTTTAGACCATCAGAAGAAAAAAAAGTAGAGCTGGAAAAATACCTATTTTGCTCTCTTTTACACCTGTTCAAGTTCAATAAATCCTCCACCACAGGATGTTTGTGTGGGTGATTTCAATAGAAAGATCTATTTACAGTAAACATGCTAGAGACCCAGAGTTAAGGGTCTTGGCAAGTGTCCTGCAATATAATTGATTGTTAGGCAAGTTGTGCATCCTCGGCCAACCTGTCTCTACCTTCCCCCCAACATCTATCCCTATGGCATTTACACCTTTTGTTTACAATATGCCCCTTGATTTGACCAGAAATCAAGTTGGGGGTCTGGGACTCAGGGCTCCCGTTTCAATATCTAAGCTAATTACTTTTTAATTTACAGTGTGTTGTTAATGGGTTTGGCAAGGGGAGCAAGGTTAGACAGGCAGCAGAAGCCACTTCCCTTCCGTTCACTAGCACAACAGCCTCCTTAATTAAAATGAATAATCTGGACATCCATCAGATAGACTGAGAGAGAGTCAGAGAAAGAGAATTGTAAAGATAGGAAGGTAGGGGAGCAAAAGCCCTGCTGAAAAGACCCCATGTAAAGTTATGATAATTTAGCAGGTGGATCTGTTTTAGACCACCACGATCCTTCTGGAACTAACTGACTGAAAATGTCTAAATGCCTGGTGGGTTCATCAGTACACCAAGATCTCATATTGAGTACCAGCATCCAAAACACAACACAACACTGGTGGGCAGTTTTGCTGATATTTTCAGCAGGGAGAAAGGCAAGTAAAGTTCATGTACGTTCATACAAAAGATACATCAAGAAAAAAATAAAAGAACAAGACAATCTACCTCCACGGCTCTCGCTGTCAGCTGGCTTCACCTGGATGGGGCGAGTCATCTGGAAGAAGAAAAACAGTACAGACAAAACAAGGGGTTAGTTCAGGCACAGGCAACCACTGTCACCACAATAAGCCAACAAACTATTGAGCCTATGTCCGTCACAAAAAATCCTAAGTTTTGATCAAATGCAAAGATCCACATGTCGGTTTGCAGGGCACATGGCATCCCTTAAACATACAAAATACAAGAGTGGTGATTTGTACCATCATGTCTTCAGTTTACCCGCACACTGTTTCTATTTTTGACATGCTACTCCAGGCAACTCTTGTTATCTCCATCTGAAATAGAAGCATTTACAAATATCCTGTGTTTGCATTGACTACCATTTTATTTAAGCATTCAATCAGTGCCAGGGCCTATGGGGACATGGCCAGGTTTCTAATCGTACCTCCAGACAAAACCCTAAAGGCACCCCTGATTTCTATTACCTGGTCTCTTGTCAGGGAAGTCAGTTCACTCAGAAATCATATTACTAATGATCCGGGCAGCTACTGTAGGTGCAGCTCTCATCTACTTCCATAACTTTTAGCCAAAATTACACTTCCAAATCAGGAATCGAATATGACAAGCATAAAATTAGCTTCTTTAGCTTAAAGTCCATCTGCCCTCAAAAAATCTATGGTCTCATCAGCAAGCTTTTTTATGTTTGCTTCGCAGTGGTCACTTGGTTACAGTCTCTAGAGACGGTGGCAAGGAGGAAGTGAAATGCAACAACAATTAAAGTGGAGGCAGTCGCAAGAGAGAGAGAGAGAAAGAGATCAATGAAGCCCTATTGATCCCTGCCCCTTAGGCTGTGGAGAGTGTCTGGCAAGGAGGGATTCTGTGGGTAGAAGGCTCACGGTAATCTACTAAAGCCTGATAAGAATGGCATTTGTTGGATTAGATGCCTCGGTCATCACAGTTTTTGTGCTCCGTATTTCGCTCAACAATTTTTTTTCCCATTATCCCCGTAAAGATTGAAGTTTTCTTGACTGGTTATTATTCTACAAACTTGAGCAAAACAGAAAGAAATATATATTTTTTGTTTGTTTGTTTGTTTTTCTTCTTTTGCCCATCGTTCAAGGATTCAAACGGATTTTGCTGCAGAATCAAAGGATGTTCAAAGGGTTTTTCTATTCTCCCATTTATTCCTACCTGGGGATGTAATGTAGAAAGGAATACTGTAAGTGCGGACTATTGGAGCAGTACAGCAACTTTATAAAGTGACTATTTTATGTCCTTTCCATCAGGGTTCATTTTGTGATGGTGTATATTTGATTCATTTTCATAAATGCTGATTAATATAGAGTTTTAAAGATATGGTTACATTAAAGAGTACTTTCTTTAATTGTTGAAAAACAGGGCAGATTCTGTCCTAAAGGCCTATTTTACACTATAACATCCATTCCCAAGCATTGCAATCCAATGGGAGCTTTATATCGATCCAAAACAAACTGCTAATAGCAATACAGCAGGCCCAGTTTGCATGAAAAAGGGCCAAGAGCTGTGCAGAGATTTGCGACAAGATTACCCAAATTTGCGAAGTGCCCTTTGCAGGCTCCCCAGCCATCTGTAACCTCAAATTAAGCCTTTTTGAATGCTGCAGCAACTTTCGTCTCATGTCGACGCCAACTCAAGCTCCAGGGAAACGTTTGAGATACGACAGGATCAACATTTTCTCTTTCTCCTCAACATATTTTTTTTTACTGTCCAATTCTGGGGGGGAGCAAACTGAAAAAGGTCGGTTTTAAAGACAGGCCAGTCCCATAAAAGCATGACTTGTTCAAGGAGAAACACCATAATGGGATTTTAAAATGCCTTAATAACATGCTGATATATGAGGAAGAGGGCCAGGTCACATTCATTAAGTGTTAAATGTATCCATTTTCACCTTGAGGAACCGAATAACCTTCTTCTGAGAAATTATTCCATAAATTTATCCATCGTAAATAATAACTAGCAGGGTCTTTGTGCAAAAAGGAAAAGGCAAAAGATGTAATTCTTCTGAAGGTCGAAGTTCAGTAGCTTTGTCTTACACTTCGGTTAAAGGAAAAGTTAAAAATAAATAAAATTGTCTATTTGAAATACATTAAAACACTACAATGGTGCTGTACTGCAAGAGTTTTCTCCATTGCGATGAACAGACGTTCTCAAGCATAAAGACAAGAACAATCCAACAGACATAATTGTGAGATATAACCATTCCAGACAAATCATCTGACAAACACAAACAGTGGCCCACATTAGACAAAACAGACGCTTTTATAGATACATCGCAATATGCATGCAACTCTGTGGATGCAATGCCTGGTAATAAAGGAGATTCTGTTTTGCAAGGGAATGCATTCAGAACTACCTGATATCTGTAAACGCCATCAGTGAGATGTATTCCTAACACATTGGACTTTCGTGTATGGTTTATGGATTCACCTCTCTAACTAGTCACTGTCCTGGTCATAAAATGCTGGTGTAATGGTCCATTTGTTTTCCTAAGAGCAATGTGTTTCTCCCTTGTACATTTAGTATTGACGGAACTCAGTTTATTGCATTTTTCTCACCTCTAATGGGATGGAGTACACTTCAGGCACACACACACACACACACACACACACACACACAGAGAGAGAAAGAGAGAGAGAGAGAGAGAATATGTTATGTCATAGGTGTAAGTTATCAAGCTATCAAATAAAGTAAATATAATACATTATAATATAATTAATCAAAAACAAAATATATGAATAATTAAACATGATCTTTGAATATTTTGTGATAAATAGTTTATATAATATCTGTAGGAGAGCATTTGCCATTAAAAAATTAAAATAAAAAAATAAATACTATGGAAGTCAATGGGGACCAAAAATCTTTTTTTTTTTTTTTTTTTTAAACTAAAAACTAATACAAATGACAAAAGGGCATAAAAATACTAAAACTTAAACTTTAACATGAAAACTGAAAATCTAAAAATATAAAGCTAATTCAAACTATTAATTAATACTATAATTGTATATAAAGAATACCAACATTGTTTTTTTGTTTTTTTTTAAACATATTGAATCGTTTTTTAACTCGGCCTCCTAACTATTTGAGACAACATTTATTTCTGTCCAAGTATAAATACATAAGTAAATAAATAAGATTATAAAATCAAGGATTTTTAAATTACATTTTGAATATGGTTGCATCACTTCAGCAAACAATTTCATAAAGTGGTGGAGACATAATCGACAAAGGCCATCCTATCCATAAATGCCCTCTATGCTGTAAACACGCTCATTTCACACACATTTACATGCACCAGAACCAAAACGACCAGCAGCTGACAAACTTGTGCTGTCGACAGGGAAAGCATTCATTTAGCTTCAGTCCTGAGAGAGTTCACTACGCCTCTCTGCTGCTTTTGTGCCTTTATTGCCCAAGCGTTCTTTACTCATAAGATAAAACGAATGAGTTCGCCTTATGCTGCGTTCCTTGCAAAAAACAACAACAACAACAACACCGTGTTCTAATTGTGATAGATTCAAGAAGGTTTCCACACTCGGACTGGTGAATGCACCGAGGTCCAGGACAAAAACAGAAGGATGGAGTGGGCTGTAGAGGATGGAAGGCCAAGGAGAACTGCCTGCAACTGCCAGATAAGATTACTTCGTAGTTGAGTGGCATTTCCAGAGCCGTGACTCCACCCTATTGCTCCCCCACATGTGCTGATAGACTTGTGCTGGCGGAAACGCACACTTATACATTTCCCGCCAGCAGCAAAAGCACCGGCGTCCCTGTGTTTGCCAATCTGTTGTTTAAGCTCAGCGGAACAATTCAAATCCCCACGTCCCAACAGGAGTGTGTCAGTTGCATCTCGTTTGGGATGATGCACACGATCCTTCGGTCCCCAGCAATCCCGACCGGCGCGTTCGGGAATGCATTCTTCGGGATTTCTGATGTAGCTACGGGACCAACTGTCTCTTTGTCCTTGTCATCGGTTTCTTTAAGCACACAATACTCGATAATCATGTTGTTTGCTGTGCTGCCGTCTTTCAAAAGGGGGAGCTATCAAACAGGGTAAACAAAATACAGTGGGGGATATGAAACAGCCATTCTCCTGAGAGACAGTCTGTTCTCCTGTAGTGATGTTTGATTAGGCACCGCTGTGCTGGGGTAGATAGAAATCCAGAACAAGCTGCTCCGAGCAAATCGGGACTGTGCCTGGTTGCCTCCGTCTATCATGAAGGTGAAATAATTCCCATATTTGTTTTACGCCGTTCTGTCATAAATTGCATGCAGGACAAACAGTCAACATGGATGAAATGTATGGTTTGCTGTGGTTTTACAAACTGTGAATGAGAAAAAGACATTGTTTTCCATAGCAGCCAAACAAGGATGTTTATAGTACACTATTTTTTTTCCAGGTCAGTGGCATCCTGAGTCGCGGCTCGCAGAATCCTGTTAAAAACAGTCTTTGAGCTTTGCTCACCTGCTGGGTTTCATGTTCAAAAGGCGTTTCGCACCACATCCCTTTTTTCATTCACATGCATTATTAAAATGGTTCACAACTTATAACAGTTCAGTGCTGTGGCTGAAAAAAAAATAAATAAATAAAACGTACTGATCTCAAACTTTACATATAGTTAACAAAAAATTGCAGTGAAAAAAAACAAAAAAACGATATTTTTGTTGACTCAAATAAAAAAATTAAACTAAACGCTGCATATGTTCTCTAAAATACCCTAACATGATAGTAGACAATGCTAATATTTGACTAATTAATTTTAAATAACTACTATAAACAATTATTAAACAACAAATAAATAAATAAAAATATAGCAACCCTGCTGTGAACAAGCTTGTCTAATTAAGAGTCGGGCGTCTTATGCGTTTGTGTGTGTATGTGTGTGAGGGAGAGAGTGTGCCGGCGGATTGGCTGGAGTTTAACAGTGAGATAACAGCCTATTCCCTGATCATTATTTAGCATTAGCAGGCCATCACAGCCCCTTCTCCTCTGTTATTCCTAATAGGGAAATAAAC